TCAAGCAAACCAAACGATTGGCAACAGTGTCTTGGAACCACGGAATAAGGCTGCGGGAACCTACAAAGAGTTTTCTCAGTTTCAAAGTCAAAGGTATTTTGTTTTAAAAAGAGGTGATTTAGGAAACGTCCATTTTGTGGGAAAACGTATAACCTGTGGCGTTGCATAGCGTGTGAAACGCTTTTTACGCTCGTAGAAGAGACACTTCCTGGTTACCAAAGCCATTTCTGACCTCCCTGAAAAGTAAGCCTCGAATTCCCCTGTCTTCACACGTAATTTTATCTCTGTGCAAACCTGATTATAATGGAAGGCGCTAGTGAGGTGAGAACGGCAAGAGGGAGTCCAAATCCCACGAAATACGGCCAGTTACATTCCATGTACGTGAGTCGCTTTGGAGCAGGCCATCCTGTTACATCCATTCCAAAGAAACAACATTAGATTGAACACGAAGATACACCAATTGTCCATTTTACAGTTACGTGCTTGGTTGCCAAGCTTTTAAACAGGAGTGAGGCTCAGAGTAACCTTGTTATGATACAGACGTTGCTGCTTTTCAAATGTAACTTTCTCTGTTATGATGCTCACTAGATGTTGGTTTCTATCCCAACAAGGTCACCTTCAGCCTCACACCAAATCAAAGGCTTGGCAACCAAGCACACAACTGTAAAATGGCCTACTGGTCCTCTCAAGTTTGACATAGAAGATTTTGTATAACCCCACGGTCGCTCTCGGTCTTTGTAGTTTGATCTTGTCACACAACGCGCTCTAGTGAATACGTTGCGTGCCCAGACCAACCTCTTCCAGATACAAAGGAATAAAGTTTAAGTTTCTGAAGAAACTGTAGTGCTGCATTGGTGGATGTGTATAAAGGGGAATATAACCTTTTAGTTTCCAAGATCTGATTGTTAATTTTCCCCTCTATAAATTGGTTATGAGAATTTGGAACTAGATCAGATAACAACTTTTACCTGATAAGTTTAGTTATTCTCATTACCTGCTTATAGAATAATGTATGGATATTATTGGGAAAAGTTACATGTTAATTGCTTCGGGGAGTTAAATGGTTAATTTGAGGAAAGTACTAATCTGCTTCTCACCCATATTAACCCACTTGTACTCAAAGGAATAAAGAGAATAAAGGAGACACATATGAGCCAAACTGACCACAGGGCCCACAATTGGAAGAAAGCCTACAACCATGGCCTGAAAAACAAAATGAGTAAAATCATAATTTTTTGTTTCTCTGGTTCACTTCTGCCAAAGCAAATGAGTTACTAGGTTTGCCTAGTTTGCTTTGCTAATATAAGCACATTTTAAAGGTGAATCAAGAAGAAGCCTTATGACACTGATATAACATAAGTGAACTGCTGAGAAATATAGCATTTACACAGGATTTAACATAAATTCTTCAACCCAGTCTTGCGTTTTACTTCAACACCAATACCACTCCCCTCTTGATCTGCTCCTGTTTCACCTGTAATTACTTTGCTTGTTGTTCAGTTAGTTAGATATTTATCTGAATCTATTTGTTTAAAAAGTGTAAAATTATTTAGTCAAGTAATTTTAAATGCAAAACCTCAAAATGCTGTTTTTAGCAGTTTACTAGGGCTTAGCCTTCAGCCCCCAACTTTCTCTCTCTTTCAGCTAAAAAATTATTTCAGCACTTCCCAACATTCATATTATAAATAGGTATGAATGACACTCACAGAAACTAACATCAACCGCATAACTTCAGAACTTAATTGTTGTAACATACAGCAATTCAAAATTAGATTTTTATGACTACTCTCAATGAAGACTAAATGGTTTGGTAATGTAATTAATCAACTGTTAATGATTCGACCTGAAAAACAGCTTGCATACAGTGAGCCTTTGATATCCTGATTATAAAATTCAGACAAAGTCTTAAACAATTGATACAATTTGATATGAGTTACCTGCACAAGAAAGAGCACCTGAAGCAAAAAGCTAAAGAAGAAATCAGCTACTGTTTTACTGATATGGGATGACACACTGAAATTGAATGAATATCAAATATGAAATCAATACAAACCTCTTGTTAACTTAGCGTGAGGTCCATACTGTAAGTTACAGATGTGTGGAAAAAGTTACGTTCTGTGACTTACAGTACAGGACCCAGCAACTGGAAAGCCTATTAGCGCTAACCCAGGGTTAAATTTTAGTCCAAGGTCCAGTTGTTTGATGGCCGATTAGCGCTAACCCAGGGTTAAATGTTAATCCATGTTTCTATATTTCTCTGTTCAAAAGCCGTTTTAAGATAATTTTCCCAATTATTGTTAGAGCATTCAATCACCAAATTGTAAACAAATGGAATTTAAGTGAATTTAATTTTAAAGCTTTCAGATCTGCAATTAAATTTCACGGTAATCCTGAGTTATCTTAATCCGCTTTTGAACAACCCTGCCCAGGTTTCTATATTCCTCTGTTAAAATGCCATTTTGGGATAATATTCCCAATTCTTTTTAGAGCATTCAATCATCAAATTGTAGACAAATGGAATTAAACTGACTTTTCTTTTAAAGCATTCAGATCTGAAATCACATTTCACACTTACCATAGGTTACCTTAACCTGGCTCTGAACAACCCAGCCCAGACCAATACAATAATAATACTAATAATAATAATAATAATAACAATAATAATAATAATAATAATAGTAATAATAGGCTTTATTTAGAGAGGGTAAAAAACTTAACAGTAGCCCTAAGACACCGATGACTCTGTGGCCCTCAAAACAATAATTTACAAATATAAATTCTACAACTAATAACTATAAAATATAGCATATTTAAAAAGGATATTTAAAATATAATAAATAATTCAATGAGGTAAGTGAGGTAGGTATTATATCCCTGGGGTTCAAATAGGGGTTCAAATAAGGGGGGGGGGAGATTTCATTTAAAAAAAAAACCTTTGAATAAAGCAGGCCTGCTAAATTGACCAATCATAGTGTATGTACTCAGGAGGTGCGGTGGCCTAATGGTTTGAGCACCAGACTCCAGATGAGGAAGTACAGGTTTGAGCCCCAGCCGGGGGCATTGTGTTGTGTTCTTAGGCAAGACACTTCACTCTCCCAGTGCTTCTTTTCACCCAGGTGTTTAAATGGGTACCAGCAAATTTAATGCTGGGGGGTAACCCTGCAATGGACTAGCATCCCATCTAGGGCGGGGGGGGGAGTAGAAATACTTCTAGCCACTTTATGCGACAGAAACTGGAGTTAAATGACAGCCTGATGGGCCACTTGGCTTGTAAATAGACTTTACTGTAAGGGTACATGTACTTACTGAGGGATATAATAATATCTTTCAAACTCTTTCTTTCAACTCTGTTATAGACTGAACTTAGCAACATAAGAAAAGTAAACAATTTTCTCCAAATATTACAAAACTGATCCCATAATTTGATAATTCATGGACTCTGTATATCAACCTTTCTTTCTTGAATGAAGCCAAGAATCCAAGAGGTCTTCCTCTTGTGTTGCGGTATGCAGAATCAGCTATCTCCTAAATCAAATATTACATAGTGCATTAGAATAGCATCTTGTTAAACAGATCTCTTGAAGTGTGAAAACCTACAAGCCTTCCCCGGCTTTGTTACAGGGAATGGAATTTCAGCCGTTTTAATTTCCAGGTTCCCAGTCCATCTGGGTTAACAGACTCTTAATGAGATACAATGAAATATATGAAGTTCATATATTTTGTACTGCGGTATTAGATACATATGATGCACGATCCTCGCAGTAGATAGCGCTATTTAAGCAATAGCGAAAATCAGACCTGAAAAAAATCAGGCCTGTACGGGATTCGAACCACTGACCTCTGCGATACTAGTGCAGCGCTCTACCAATTGAGACTCTTAATATAGTTTTCATTTCATTTAGCTAAACTTTGAATAATTCCAAACCACAACACACACATTTCAATATAAAGCAAACAATAAAATTCTAATTGAACAGTAAAGGAATACAAGTAAGGTTTAATATAAAACAACAGAAATAAAAAGTTACCTGATACCATAACGAATTGAGTGGCTTGCTGAGCCAGAAGAGAGGCAACACCCACAAAGCACCAAACAAATATGATAACAAAGGTCCCATCCATCTCCACAGCCATAAACCCTGATGGGGTGCACTTCCAACCAGTGTATCTGTGGTCATTATATATTTAACAGCTATTCACT